GGCAGGTGATGCAGCAAGTGTATAAAGTCTGACAGTACAGATTGGTAATGATAGTATAATAGTGGAAGAGTTAGTAAGATTGGCAGGTGATGCAGCAAGTGTATAAAGTCTGACAGTACAGACTGGTAATGATAGTATAGTAGTGGAAGAGTTAAGTAAGATTGGCAGGTGATGCAGCAAGTGTATAAAGTCTGACAGTACAGATTGGTAATGATAGTATAATAGTGGAAGAGTTAAGTAAGATTGGCAGGTGATGCAGCAAGTGTATAAAGTCTGACAGTACAGACTGGTAATGAAAGTAGCAACAATCCTTTACATTCTTTTCTGGTAGAAAGACACCTCAAAGTTCAATGTCCCAGAGTGAGGCAGGGTAGTTTTTGTTGATTGGAGCTGATAGGGAAAAACCACAACATATAGTAGATTAGTTGTGACCTGGCTGTATATGTTTGACCACAACATATAGTAGATTAGTTGTGACCTGGCTGTATATTTTTGACCACAACATATAGTAGATTAGTTGTGACCTGGCTGTATATTTTTGACCACAACATGTAGTAGATTAGTTGTGACCTGGCTGTATATTTTTGACCACAACATATAGTAGATTAGTTGTGACCTGGCTGTATCTACTACTATATACTCTACAAAATGTACTTCTACTACTGTACACTCTACAAAATGTACTTCTACTACTATACATTTTATAAATTTGTACTTTCTATACCAAATGTTCCAGTAAATCTGTTTATCTTATTAATAGCTTCAATCACTCTCTTAGTAAGTACTCCAACATATCTATTTCTACTACAGTTTACTAAATGTATAGACTGAACTTTTTGCAACATTAAATTACATTCTACTAAATACACAAATATTTTTCTAAATTCCAACTAGAAAAGGCACAAAATGTACACTTTTTTCAGTAGATTCATAAAATGATGCTACCAAGGCATTGAGATTAACAACCCATGAGAAGTGGTTAAGAAAAGATGTTTTGAAAATTACATTAACTTTAAAATAAACAGACTGTGACATTAACAAAGATGAAACTTAGCATGTTCTTCCAAGACTGCCACTTCATCAACAACGTCGTCTTCGGTAATATCTACTTCTGCATTTCCTACGGCACCTTCTACTTCCTCAATTCTGTCATCAACATCATCACTCAATCTTTCTACATTCAAAGAACCAGAAAAGACGGGATCTTGTTGTTGAAACTGATCCACTGCCATTCCCAACTGTCCAGCCGATTGATCAGCTTCAGCCAGATCCTTTGTATCATCCACTCCAGCTTCTGCTTCAACTTCGGGTTCTGTCTCAGCTTCGGCATCATCTCTATCGTCTACTCGGACATTATGTGCATGAAAATCAAAAGGCTGGCCAACTGGTTGTTGATGGACAACTTCTTCTAAGTACTCTTCACTAACAAACAAACAAAAATATTATATTAATAAAACAGCCAGAGTTGTTGTTTTACAACTTTTCATACTTTGAAGAAAACATCATGTAAGCAAAGTTAAAACTATTTTGTTTTCCCTTTAGTGCCACTAATAGACTCTTTGCCTCTGTGTATTATCAAACAGCCATAACTTGTTCCCACTTACAAACTTTTCAATGCTGTTTTCAACCATTATACATGAGCCTACACATTAAACTACCTGTATATAGCTTTATTTTCTTGCTTTACTGCTCTGAAAGCCACCATTAAATACCTTAGAGGCATAACAATGATTATGAAAGAAAGCATCATTTTTAAAGTTTAAAATTTCAAACCACCTTATACTATTTTAATTATGATAGTGGACACACATTAAATGCTTCCTCTTAAAACCTAATAACACCAACATTCTCAGAACATGCTTTACTATTTAAATGACTTAGGACTGTATGTAGTTTTTTTTTTTAACTTTACAGAAGCTACAAGTGGCACTGCACAAAACTATTGTATTTTCAGTTTTGTGTCAATAAAAATATTTATTTCACAGTTCTTCAACAGTACATTTAATACGACACTCACTGAGCCGGTCTATGAGGGGATACTGGAGATCCTTGAAATTGCATATTTCCTGTTTTCTCTCCTGAAGGAACAGCTACCGTTGATTCTTCTCTGTTCCACTCACCTGTTTCCTGAAGAGTTATAACAACAGATAGTTTCCACTTCATAATTCAAACAACGGGATTTTTAACTTTATTTATCAAGTTTTAAACAATTACATAAATCACAACAAAGTGAAAACGTGTCCACTTTCAAAGACAACATCTCTTCTGAACTTTTGTATTACTTTAATATTAATAGTTTTCCCCTTTTCTAACCATCCACTTCTGATGAAAAACAAAACAAAAGAGTAGCACTGTACAATTGTTATTATTTAAACCTAATCTCAATACTTTTTTTTACCCTTGTGAGTATTATTATAACAAACAATTCAGTCTGTGATGTAAAAATATACAGCCAGGTCACAACTAATCTACTATATGTTGTGGTCAAAAACATACAGCCAGGTCACAATTAATCTACTATATGTTGTGGTCAAAAATATACAGCCACGTCACAACTAATCTACTGCATGTTGTGGTCAAAAATATACAGCCAGGTCACAACTAATCTACTATATGTTGTGGTCAAAAACTAGAAGTACATTTTGTAGAGTATACAGTAGTAGAAGTACATTTTGTAGAGTACATAGTAGTAGAAGTACTCTACAAAATGTACTTCTACTACTGTATACTCTACAAAATGTATACAGTAGTAGAAGTACATTTTATAGAAGTACATTTTGTAGAGTACATAGTGGTAGAAGTACATTTTGTAGAGTATACAGTAGCAGAAGTACATTTTGTAGAGTACATAGTGGTAGAAGTACATTTTGTAGAGTATACAGTAGCAGAAGTACATTTTGTAGAGTACATGGTAGCAGAAGTACATTTTGTAGAGTACATGGTAGCAGAAGTACATTTTTTAGATTACATAGTAGCAGAA